CTCCAGGCTAATCTTACCCAGCAAGCCCCACGGCGTGCTTAACCTTAAGCCACTCTTCAGACCTATCAATGTTAATCTTAAGTGCTTTGCTGATTTGGAGCACTATAATTTTTCAGAGGACGTGTCCTCTGCTCCTTCAGACACTAAAATTAGCCTGAAAGCAGACAGGGAGGTGCAGGCAACCTCCCCAACCCGGCAGCTGGCTCAGCCAGGGGCTGCATCCCTGGGCTCACAGCAGGCAGCTGCTGGTGCTGCCTCCAGCAGAGCACTTCTGGGGTGGTGCAGACAGCAGCTGGAGAGATGAGGGATCTTGAGGCAAGAGGGGAGCTTTTCCCTGCCTGCTTTCACTGTCCCTCTGTCCCTGCCGGGCTGGCATCAGAGGTCTCACTCCCAGCCAGCACACTGACTTTCATAACAGTGAATTATAACTTGGCACTTCTGTGGCTGTCTCTAGTTCAAAGCTGTGCTGAAACATTATCTAATTAATTCACACAATAGCCCTGGAAGGCAAGAAAGGGAGGTAGGAAGCTGAGTTACTTGCCCAATGAAAAACACTGAGTCAGTGGAGGAGTGGGAGGAAGACTCAAGGGCTCTGGATATTTAGATCTGACATGGCATCCTTCTTGTTGCAGCAGCAGTTCAGTAATTTGAAAAATAGTACCTCTATATTTAATTACAATTACAGCCAACTACTCATAATTAATAGATTAAACAGGGAGAGAAAATGTTACCCTAATTAGCACCCCGAAAAATTAAAAATCACATGCTTTTCACACCTGTAGGATGTTAACCAAATCAATTTAAAAAGTATAAATATGTGGTATAAGCAAAATTAGCAAAACCCCATTGTGACGACACTTACAGGAGAAGCTGCCCCACTGACAGGGCTGCTCAAGTGCCACTGGTCCTGGTCCCCACTGCAGGCAGCGAGTGGCTTGGCATCACAGGAAAAGCCACCACAACCACCCTGCCACCACCACAGCACCTGCAGGACGAGGTCCCCACCCTCCTTTGCCTCAGTATCTCTTTATTGCATGAAAAATAAATGCAGAACTGTAAGGGGGAAAGGAAAGGTGTTTGTAGAAATAAAGAATATGAAAATGTCACCAGCACCCTTATAGTAGAAGAGCAGACCAATCAAGAAGAAGAAATAGGGATTTATTCACAGAAACTATCATTACAGGAGGTAATGGGCAATTAGAAACAGTGTTCCATAAACTCACATCAACAGTAAAAATATTTTATAAAGTACATTTCTAGGTGTAAGGGGTTAGAAGAGGTATGTTCAGAGATTCAATGCAATCCTTTATGTAATTCCAGAGGTCCATTAATCAGCTGGAAGACCTTTTGTAAGAATACAATTTCATTAAAATATTCAATAGTTATAGACTGAAGAGGAAAAGGCCAACTGAAGCTAATTAACCTAAAGAAAAAAGTCTGCATAGTACTCAGAGTACCTGACTGAAATGGGGGTGCAGGGGAGAAGAGGGAATGGAAAGACAAAGTTGCAGGAAAATGCAATTAATGAAAAATACTGCTAGGAAAACAAACTGATGCAGCATTAAAAAGAACATGACTTGCACATAAGGGGATATTAAAAGGGGGAAATGGAGTGCATATGTGGAGAGGTTGTAGAAGGGGAGAAAGTTTGGTTTGAAAGGTATTTGTATGAGCAAAAGAACCCCAAATCTCTACTATTGTGGATTAAGGCATCTATTGATGCAAGTTAAAACATGTTTTCTAACAAGCAATTCAGAAAATAATGTCATGCTGCTTTGCTTTTCTGACCAGCAATTATTTAATCAGAAAGCTGTATTAGGAAAAAAGTCTCTTAGTAGGATAGAGTATCTGACTATGAAAATGTGCTGTGTGATAGCCAACCAGTAGCTAATGCATCTTCAGCTCTGGGGCTTTGCTTTTGTATCCCTGTTCTCCCCAGGGAATTTTTTTCAGAGTTCATACTAGGTTGCCTCTGTTGGTCTGGCCATGCCATAATGATACCCAGCCCCTGGAAGCTTCCCAAAGAAGTTGGTGAAGAGGGGATTGCTGTACTTTGCTGTTTTATAGCCCAAATAGCTCTCAATAATTGAACATTAGTGTGGTGGGAAAAGTACCAACAAAACTTTTATGATAAATCTTCACCATCCTCCAGGACTTCAGGTCAAATAAATAAAGACATGCACAATTTTCATGCTATTTTTAGCATCAGCAGTTATGACAAATGTGGCACATACATAGATTTTCCTTGAGCAGTTCATTTTTCTGTCCTTCACTAACCTTTTCCTCTCCCAGTAATGGACTACTTTTTATGTCAAGCATTTTGTAGCAGGCTGAGACTAAAAGGTCCATATCTCCATCAGAAAACTGCTGTATTTCCAACCAAGCAAGAATTTTTTTTTTTTTTTTTTGTGCACTAGGAGACCATGTTTCCCCTCCCTTGCTCACTCGAAGCAAGCTGAACCAGGAGCTCCTCCTCCTCCAGCCCCAATTCGGTAGGATCTGCCCTGAAAACAGAGGTCCTGTTTGCATTCCCCACACATGACCCCAAGGCCAAGAATGCAATGGATCAGCAGCAGCTTTTTCATACATCCTGCATGTGGCTAGGACAACAACCAAGCCCCTTGCCAACACCCTGCCCAGCATCCCTGCCTCAGCCAGGCAAGTCCCAGGGGATCCAATCCCTCTGGATTGCATCCCCTCCCTAGGGAGAGGGCTGGCAGGGGCAGGAGAGCTGCCCCAAAGCCATTGTGCTGCCCCTGCAGAGCTCTCCAACTGCAGGGCTGGCACAACTCCTCCAGGCCAAGCTGCTCCTGCTGAGTTTGTATAAAAATTTGATAAAATTGCTACTGATGGACTTCATGGAGTTCCATCAAATGTTATCAACTTGGTCCTGCTCAAAGAAGCCCCACTTATAAACTCCACCTCTAGAAGGCATGGAGAGGTTTTTGGGAGCATGTGCCCCACATCCCAAGCTGCAGTGACCTCCCCAGTATAGCACCTCGATTTCCTGCACACTGTGTGCTACAGACAAAGCCCGTGTTCAACAACTCCCCAGGAAATTAGCATTAATTAGCAGGGTGCTGCAATCCTGCAAGTGACTGCCACTTATCCCACTAATGTTGACTCCACACTATGGGAGTTCTTAGAATTTCTGACATTAAAATTGTTATTGGCCACAAATAAAGTGTAATTGATATTCTTTTGGAAATGGAAAAAGTACAGTAGTATACTCTGCAGCATTATTAATCAGTGCTAAATCAAATATCAAAGGATGAAAATAACACTATATTTAGCAATCAAGTTTATTTTAATAGATGCAATCAGAGTCCCATGACTTACAATTTTGCCTCTAAGGGGAATGTTCTCACTGAGGAAAATATGAAAAAAAAAAAAAAAAGACAAAAGTGCACATTTAGGTAGGGTCCTCACTCACTCCAGAGCTGTCTGTGCCATTTGCTAGTTCTGGCAAGATTTCTATTTTCCTTCTCATATGACCATTTACACTTCAACCTTGTTTTTCCCCCAAATATCCTGAGCTACTGTTGGAACCGTGCACAACAAAACCAACACCCAGAAAATCCTGTTTGTGCAGCATTTAATATGAAACTTTAAACTCAGTGCATTCAGCTGCAGATTTCCCGGGCTCTTGTATTTAAGGGGAAAGCGAACTGTGACACAGATGTGCAGCAGCAGCTGGGCACTGCCAGCAGCGGGAGCTGCCCTGCCGGGCACGGTCAGTGCCAGCCCAGGAGAGGCGTCTGTCGTGGGCACAAACGAGGTTCCTCTGCACTACAGCTCCGGCCTTTGCTTCCGACTGTGCAATCACCGTGTATGTGCATCTCACAGAAAGCACTGACTGAAAACACTCTTTCTCATCCAGCTGGTCTGCGCGGAGGGGAGGAGGGAGGCGGCTGCATGGCGAGGCTGCAGGATGATCCCTGCTGCAGGATGATCCCAGCTGCAGGAGGATCCCTGCTGCAGGATGATCCCTGCTGTCGGACTGTGAGCTGCAGCAAGATGCACTTGTTCTCGTGTGGTGTAAGTGGCATTTGTCCTCCAAACTTTGGCATAAGGACCTGAACCACCAGCATTGTACCAGGAGTATCCTGACCTAGGTAAAACATACATTGCAACACAGACTGGCTGCTCCAACGATGAAAACTTTGATTATTGTCACTGCTTCAAAAGCCAGTGGCCTTAATAACTCAGAGACACTGGCAAACCAACCTGTTACATTCTCCGAGTGCTGTTCATCACAGTCAGGACAGCTTTGCTGACTGACCCAGGTCCTGTGGGGGATCACCAGATAACAACAACCAGACTGAGGTGGATCTGTAGTAGGGGCGCTTCCTCAGGTGCCAAAGCTGGGGTGAAGTACCTCATCTTCATGCTGCCTTAAAAGCCAGGTAAAACACACTGATCCCTGAGTAATAAACTGTATTTACTGCACCTGAGCAGAAGTCTACAGTTCAGAGCAGTGTGTGCTGCCTACAAACTTCTGTTTTGGCCATTCTTTATAGCACTCTATCACACATAATATACAGGAAGTGCATGCAATACACAGGGGACACACACTTTAATGTCCTCATGGGCTGTGGGTCTGTTATTGATCTGACTGATACTAGGGAGAAAATTGCTTTTGGTAGTGTTTTTCCTGGTTCTTGACTGGGCAAAAGAATTTACAGGAGGTCCAGAGCTCACATGTGTTGGAGAAAGGGCTGCACATACCCGTTGCACAGGCCCTTTCCCCACATCTCCAATCCAGGGAGTGGGTTTTCCTTAGCTTTTCTGGGCATGTGCTGCTGGCTGCTGTGTTTTCCTCTGCTGCCCCGATCTGGGGAGAGCCTGCCAAGTGATGGCCTGTCACACTGGGAAGATGAAGAGGTGGATTAGACAAAAGAAACAGAGAGGAAAAGCAGATGAAAGCCAGAGGCAGATAACTGCTGGCCTTGCGAAGTCTCACATCTGTGGGGTACAAGAACACTGCCAAATACACGTTATCCAAGAGTTTTAACACAATTTATTTTATGCTTAAATAATCAACTAGATCATCCAGTGTTTGTTGTTTTCATACATATGTAATTAGAGCTATTATCAATGAATGCTGTTTCCATATGAATATAATCAACAAATTAAAGTATTTCACCAAAAACCAAATAAAAATGCCCTTTAAAACACAGCAGCCTTAACAACCTAATATTACACTGCTAGGATGATTACAGATGATTGGCTTACTGAAAGATTCTACATCTTATAGCCAGTACACAATACAGTAATAATTTTACAGCGTGCTGCCAGTCTATTAGCTAATAATTTCTCTTCAGTTCATTTAAAAATATCCCAAACTTTTGCTCCTTAGAGCACCAACCCACTTCTAAAGCTGCAAGCATTACCCCCATTATAAAGCAAGAACAGATAGCACCCCCCTCCCCATAATGCAACTACTGTATATGTTATGGGTCTTAGGTCATTTCATTGAAAAATTGGCAACAGCAACAAATATTAGATGAAGGGCTTTGTGTTTACAGATAAAATCTTATTTTTCATGTTGCGGAATAGTGTTTGCAAAACTGGAAAAGATTTAATCAAAATAAGGTGAAACACATGCATCAAAATATTAGTACTCTGAAGAAAAATTTTCACAGAACTACAGAATTCCTCATTTTGGGAATCATTTAAATTTGCAGCAGATTTTAAAGATTTTTTTAAAATCAAGCTAGCGATTTTGCATATACAAACATTATAATTGCTAATATACAAGAATCTGTGAAGATACACCCAGAATATCCCTGTAGGTGCAGCCATTTGAGACACCTAGCCTGCTCAATGCATTTGCAATATTCTGTTTGTGATCGAAAAGGCAGTGCCTTATCAACACTTATTCTATTTTGTTAGAATTTATACAGTGTTATTTATTTACAGCAAAACTATTGATGTTTAAAAAAGAAACAAATAGTGTTTTATACCCTGACAGTTTGGGTCCAAGAAAAATAAGGCGAGCTGTTGTGGATTTTAGTATTTTTAGTGTCTTTCCATGGTTTAACCATTTCGTCTTCGCACATCCTCTCTGGCCACAGGAATTTATTTCTTTTGAGATGACATCAAACTGCTTGAGAGAAGCTGTTAACAGCATGGCATCTTGTATATACACTGCATTGGTAACTGAGTACCCTCCAATCCTGTGAATGAATGTGAATTTCCATGCTCTGTAAATTGGCTCATGCTAAATTAATTTTTTTGTTTGGGATTTTTTTTGTTTGGTTTTTTAAATTTTTGCATAAAAATCATGCGGTTAATGTGGGGAAGCAGCAAACACACGCACACTTTTATAGGTGAATGTTTAATTCCTGTTGATTTTTCTTCCAGGAGTGTCCCTCTAGAATACTGGCAGTAAAAGCACACTGTAGAGAGAAAACAGAGAACAAATAATTTCAGAAATATCTTGTTAGAATCAGTTTCATGCCTTTCCCTGACTAAACAGAAATGTAACTGGCACGATGGAATTCTGCAATAGGCTAAATCACACAGTTTCTAGGTAGGCAATGACATTAGCTGAGCCAAAATGCAGCTGCAGATGTCCACACTGCTTGTGAACTAATTTACAAATATGTTTGCAGCACTCTGCATTTCATCACCCCAGACATGCCACCAGCTCATCTGATCCAATGATGACAAGGAATCGGTTCTTTTGTTGTGGAAGGAACAGCATCATCTCCAGAGGGAGAAAGCTGCTGCTTCCACAGCACGTTTTTCTTCATTGTGCACAAACATCCTCACAGTGATGGAAAACCTGCTCTCCTTGCACATCCACCTCTGCCAGTTGCTCAGGGAACATTCCTGCAGAGCCAGGAATGCAGCACCCAGCCTCTAGGAGGCTTGGTGAAGGACAAAAGCACGGACAAGGAGCAGCCATCCATCTCCCTCCAGCCTGGCTTGCATGAGTGGCACCGAGGAGAGCCGGTCCAGCTCCTGCTGTCTCAGCCCTCAAACCAGAGCCATGCACGTAAGGACAGCAAGTTTGTGACGTTTGTCACACAGAGCAGAGAGGGCAGGAAGCAGAAATACAAACACAGCAGTGAGCAGGAGCTGGAAGCTGTGGCTCCCTGGCACCTGGGCGCAGGGCAGCCTGCTGGGGAGCGGGGCTGGCGTGGTGCCGGCAGGGCTCAGGCTGGCACGGACACGCCTGTTCCCTAATCAGGTCACAGGTTCATCCACACACATTCCCCAGGAGTGCTTGCAGTCTCCTTCCACGCTAAAGCAATCTGCCCTTGCCCACATCTAGAGTTGTCATAAATCTGTCCTGCTGCTGAGAGCCGCCCGTTCCCACTGCAGCAGTCACGCCAGCTCACACCGTGCTGTCCTGCGGAACTGCACGCAGCTCTTGGCTTCTCCTTTCAACCTATGCTTCACACTGGGTTTGTCTGCAATGCTGACAGGGACATCTTCACAGCAAAACCTAGCTAATAGAGTGATTTTTTTTTCCCAACACTCCAAAAAAAAAGAACCACCTCTGCCTACCCAACAGGATTTTTTTTGGTCTTTTATGATTACAAAACAAACAGTTTTTCTACAGAATTCCCTGCCTGGGCAAACACATCCCCTTCTGCATCAAAATGAAATGTTTTTAATGGGCTCTTGACCAGACTCACAATTATGTAGTGCATATTTGGTCATGCTTATTATATGAAAGTTTGGAGCACAGAGATTCATCTTGCAAGACAAAGTTTTCCCCAGAACAAAGGTTCATTATCTAAGGCAGACTCTCTGAGTTCCTCAGGGGCTCTAGCATGGAAGACTTGCCTACTGGAAATCACAGGAGAAATGCATCAGCCGTCATGGGAGCAGATCTGATTCTGAGGAACTCTGGCTTCCTGAAGGTCAGACTGTTTCATACATTAGGCAAAGACTGCCTAATTTATGTAATTTTATTTTAAAATGAAATGCTTATCCCTGGTGTCTTTTGCATCACACTCATATGCTGGCAGGCTCTTTAACTGCATTGATTATGGGGTTCAATGCCCCATCTTGCCTTCAATGCCTGAATTTACACATTTCTACTGCTTTGCCCCTGCAGATTGACAGCGGAAGCAGCACAGGACCCAACATGGGACACAATTTCATACAAACAGTGCCATCGCTTTAGCTTGCTTTACTGCCATATCCTTGAGCTCCATAAAGGACAAAGCTGCGTCAAAAGAATCACCTCCCTTATCCAAAAAATAAATATTTTATGAGTGCGTTGAGCACCAAGCCACATGAAGCTGTATTATTCTATTGGCACACACAGGAAGACTCTCAGTAAAAGCAGGAATTCAGGTGGATGCAGTAGGCGCTAACCAGATACTGAAATCACACCAGTCACCTCACAGAGCTTGCTCCTTGGAGCTTGATCCCATAAATCCCTCAGCTAGATCCCACACACTGAGTGCTGTTTGTCTAAATGGCTCTACTCACACGCACAGAGCACCTGTAGGGCCAGGGGGCTGTAGGGGCTACCTCACATTTCATCGGTTAGAAGGGACTGGTGACTCAAGAGAGACTCTGCTTCTGTCTCTCCTTTTCCTCACTATCTGCTCTATTTACCAGGTCCTGTTTATTCTGTTCTTAAATCTTACAGTCAATCCCATATCATATGTACAGCAAAAAGATAATACACAGTCTTGCACGTCATAAATGCTTCCTCTGTCCAATCCCTGAAACCCAACAAAGCTAAGAGAGAAGAGCAGAAAAAAGACATGTACATGGTAAACCTACACACTTGGAGCCATGACAGACAGGCCAGCACTGAAAGACACACAGGCACATCTCTGTGTGTAGCTGTGTCAGTGAGAAAAACATCCTCTGGCTTCTTCTCTTCACATCTTTACAGAGTCCCCTTCAAGGGGGTCTTTGTGCATTTGGGTTTAGCTTGGGAGGCCCTTACACCATCAGCTGCTGGCTTGCTACAATCGTTAAGGCTGGATCAATAAAATTCAACAAGAAACAGTAGGTAGGGATTATTTGTTGGCAAATATTGAGACACTTCACTTACAAGGACTTTGACTTGCATAACTGCCCTCAAATCATTTGTCTGACAGTGAAAGAAGCATTTCACTCCTAGGTTTATTTATGTGCAGCTCCTTTACTATTTAAGCTTTTAGGGGTAGAAAGTTCTATGGATTATAAACACTAGACACTGTAAAATTCCCAGAAATTTTGCACATGCCTGAATATTGCTTTGCTTTATTTTACAAGAAGTAAAGATTAATTTCTATACGTGAACACAAGGTCATCTTCTGCTTACAAGACCAAGGGCCAGCTATTCAGGTCTGCAGCTGGAAAGCAAAGTCAGGGTAGCAGAGGCAAGCCTTTGTGCAGCCCAGGTGCTGTTCCCCATGCTGGCAAAAGCCTTCAACAAGGGAAGAAAATTGATCACACTGACCGTTCAGTGGTTGGCTTTTAGCTTTCATGAGTAACTTTTCTTCTCCACGTGTCTGACTTCTTTCTTTGTCTTAACCTTATAAGCTTCTCCCTGCTTTAAAGGAAAAATAGAAACATTAACACAGCCTGCAGAGAGCACTCATAATTGTAAACCAGCTTCCAAAACAGGATACACATTTTGCTGTAACAGGATAAGTAAAAAGCAGTTAAATCACATTAACACTTCATTTCAACGATACACACAATCTATTTATCCACTCTGCTGAGCTGCAAAAGCACAGGTCTGAAATATCATCTTCAAGTAGAAAACACAGCTCTACAATTTCAGCCTGACCCTGGGGTTGGAGTGCCCGGCTGGCAGTCAGTCCTCGGCAGAGCCCCTGCTGCCAGCTGCAGTGGGAGCCAGTGCCACTGACAGGGAAAAATCCCCTCTCCCAGCTGTCCTCCTGGGTCAGCTGAATTGGTGGGCATTCCCAACAGCAGAGCCTGTGGCTGCTCTTATGATGTTTCACAACGTCTGTGCTTTAAAGTAGCAGGTTAGTAATGGAGTAAAGGGAAGAAGAAGAAAGCCAGCAAAAATCACCACTGAAGCAGCACAGAAGTAAAACCAATGACAGTGACAAGCAGTGCAGATTTCAGTGTCTTTAAATCAGCAAACCCCAAAATAAAGTTCATCTTTGCTCATTAAAAGTAGCTCAATAATCATCTAAAAATAAATTCTCCAGTAATCACAAGCCTCACTCACATCAGAGAAAGGCATCTGTTTATGTGTGGCTACGGGTAGAATTTACCCCTCAGGTGATCTGCATTGATGTATTTGTAACTATTTGTAGTTTCCAACTAATCTCATCTGGTGCAGCAAATTAAAAATGTTTACCCCTTGCTGGGCAGGATTTTTTTCCTTCACAAACAACAAGGAAAGAGGGAATGGAAATAAGTTTTTTTTCATTCTCTTATTTCTGTGACTTATGTGTCCCCAGCTTTTTTCCTTTTTTTATTGTCAGAAAATAAAGGGTATTTGTTATCTTCCTTTGTGAATCTGTTTTCACTCAGACAAGAATTTCATTAGCCCAGTGACAGTTTTACTGAGCAGAGATGTCTGAGGGCCATGTGCTGGGGAAGAAGGCACGGTCTCCTCTGAAGCTATTTGTTTACAGAGGCGATGCCCATTCCCCCAAGGCTTCCCTGGGACAGATGACAGCTGAGGCACAGCTGCCCACTCCTGCCCCTTTCACTGAAGCCCTTCCCAAGAGGGGCTGGGGTGTGCTGGCACACAATAGTCCTACTCTTCCCACTGTCAGAGTGATAAAGCTGGGCATAGTCCAGGCCTGAAGAAGACTTCCAGTTTTGATCACCAGGGACAAAATCCTGTCTTGGTGCTTGCTTGTAAAGGATACCATTACTTGGGTATGTTCTCATTGACCTGAATCCTGCAAACCCTCAGTCACCAGCACCAGGGGTGTCACACCAAGGTGAGTGAGAGGCCACTGGGATCAGACTGCAGTTCATTCCTTTGGGCTGGTGGAAAAGCCACAAAATCCACCTACAGCTGTAAGGCACAGATTCTGCAAGGGCTTAACCAAATACACAGACACGGCTCAACTTGATGGCACAAAGCAGGCCCCAAACCCATGGCTTAGAGACCTGCTGCCTGTTTTACAGAAACAGACCTTGATGCCCCGTGCTGACAGAATTCAGCCAGGCCCCCTTGATGCCACCCCTGCCCCGTGATCCCAACACACAACCTGCCAATAACTGCAAGCACTGCACTTTTTGCCAAGGCTTCTTGTTAAATGCAAACCTCCAGCCCTTTAGCAGCGCTTTCTAGCAGTCAACACAACCCTCTGCGCCTACTGTTATTTCCTGGTAGTCCCCGTTGCATTACCATTTCACCAACTTTCCTCTCGTGGGGGATAACAACACGTCTGACTACCTTCCGGGTGATCTGTGGGAAGCAATACATGAAAAGTATAGATTTTTTTTTTTCCTAGATTCTAAAGGGAAAAAGTATGTTAAAAGAAGTTACTTGAATGCAAAGACTCAGAGCAGTGATGTAATTCATGATTACTTTTCTCGTGATGACGTTGCCTTCTTCATCGGTAAACTGTTCCTCTCTTACAGATTCACCAGGAATGTTTTTTGCTTCCTCACCCTAAAGAACGTGTTATAAGATTAGCAATAGAGCCTATATTCTGTCAAACCCACACATATTTCCACACCAATCCAAGCAACAAGCACATGCTAGCTTCAACTTTATGTAACAGTTTGCTTTATGGCACACGAACCGTATGAAAGCCTCGTTCATTTAGCAATGCTGATACCTGTGCATTTATCCTACAAAATGTTTCCTTAAAGCCTGTAGGGAGCTTCTAGCACACTGCCCTTATTAATTAATGCATGTCAGGAACTCTCTGGGCAACAAAATCGAGTGGTCAGTCTGAGCCCTCTGAGACACCCCATAACTTTTCACAGCCCCTCAGTGAAACTCAGCAGTGCTTCTGCTTTGGCACACGCAGAACCATGGTCTAACATGGGAGAAATCTGGGACTTAAAAAGACAGATCTGCCTCTAGCTTGCTAAACACGAGGTCTTAAACACAAACACAGAAGACAGACAGGACTTCTCAGCACTCACAAAGGAAGGAAGTTATCTTACGTGACACTTTGCCCGGCATGGTGCCACCGTGGTGAGAGCCTCAGCAGCCCAGTCCATGACTCACTGAGATCAGCAGCACTCCAGCCATCACTTCTTGTAGGACCAGCAATTTATAGCACCAGTGCAAATAAATGTAAAAGCAGTTTCCTAGCTGCTATGCCAGGGACTTAATTCCACTTAAAGGAATTATTGCTTAAATCATAAATAAATGACATGAGTTTAGAGTCTGAGCCCAGCCAGCAGTCATGAACTTATGTTCCAAAAGAACTTTGCTAACTTTACCTCACAAAGTCATACTTCCAAACCTGGATGCTGAAGCAAGCACTGTTTTGATGCTTCAAAAATATCCACTGTTTGTGATAATATCTTTCATATAAGAAAGGCAAACATAATAATATTGTAGTTGGCCTACATATTAAAAATTTCCACTTGTAAATCAATAATGCAAACAAAAAAAAAATTCCTTCAAACTTTTCTTCTCCCCTCACCCTCAACCCTCTATGGAAAAATTATAAGTAGAGGGAAGAAGCAGAAAGAAAACATTGTATAAAAGACATTATAATAATATTAACTACAAAACAATATTTGGAAGTAGACTGTTACAGCTTTTATAATGCTTCATTGTACTGAACAGCACAGGGCAAATACAGTTTCTATTTACTCTGGTCTATACACTACGTAGTTGTCTGCATAAGGTCGTGGCACTGCTTTATAATAAACAAATACAGTGATGCCATGTGGATTTTTTAAAAACAGTACTAATGCAGCTTTTTCAAGATGTACAATGTAATATTGGGATTGTATACTACTCCTAAGCTCTAAGCAAAACAAACCTTTCCTTTTGTTTACAAGCCATTTGTCTTCTTTTCTAGCCAAGCTTTTCCACTTTCCTTGCCTGAGGAGAATGGCAGCAGGCAGGAGCCAGGGGGGAGTACTGCAGAGCAGAGCCCCTGGCCATGTTTGTCATTCTTCACAAGTACAGAACCTCTGCTGGTTTCTCATTGAAAGCTCTACTGAAGTCACCACTCCACTTGATAATTAAGCAATGGAATTCAGACATTTTACACATCTTTTTCCCCAGGCTTTCACAGACTGCTCGCAAACTGTACAACTTGCTGAACTTTGGTGCTTTGGGAAGCATTGCCGAGAGAAGGACAGGCTCCACAGCCAGGTGGGCACAGGGACACAGGGATGAGGTCCTGTGCCCGAGACACACCAAGCTGAGGTGCCTGGGCCGGGGAATGCTGGAGTCCCTACAAAAGCACAGCAGAACAAACAGCTACTGAGGCCTTCAGCTGGAGCCTGAGAAGTTCATTCCCTGAAGGAGCAATGGCACACCTGCCTAGCACTGCACAGGCCCTGTGCAGGAGGAGGGAAGCGCGGGGCTGGTCCCTGCGGCGAGCGGGGCCCCAGCGGCAGCCGGCCGCTTCCTTTCTCACGAGAAAGGGACGGGACCGCTGCCAGGCAGGCCCAGGCACTGGGGAAAGGCTTTGGGAACTGAAACCTGTGGGGTTTCCTACTCACAAAGAGATGGGAGGGGGAAAGACTGACTCTGGAAACTTCACACTTTAATCAGATGCAGAGCAGATGGGGAACTAGCTGCACAGTTTTCCTGACCTTCCACATGTGAGACTCCCCAGTGGGCTCCAACACAGTACCCCAAGGAGCAGGAGGGAACCCTGGCACAGACATCCCGTGGAGCACAGTGGTATGGAAAGGCTCGGTCTCCAAAGCCACTACAATAAAGCCCATGAAAACCAGAATAAAACAACATGGCCAGTAGCAAGGTCACCAGACTACTTGGCACACCAACACCATTTATATGTACTGGTTCTTCGACTCCTTACTGAAGCTAAGAGCAAGGTTATCCCTTAAAACAACCTAGTGAGAATCACTGTGTCCAGTGTCAAAAGAATTAAAAGCATACTGCTGCACTGAAAGATGTCTCCTGGAAGAAAATGCAGTTTTAAAGGTGTGGTGAATTTTGGGTTTTAATTAGCTACACGCTCCTTTAAGCACAATTTAAGGATAAATGCTGTAAATACTCAGCAGTCAGTGCACATGAAATCCAGTTTTCACAATTCTCTTGCTGGTGGGTAGTTAAACAAATTGCAGGAGGGCTCACAACTGGCAGGAGGTAGATCTGATTTACTGACTTTTCTAATCCTTTGCAGTTATAAAGATGGATGTTTGCTAGGAAAAAACCCCTACCCACTGGCAGTTTTAGTTGCAAGAGCTCAAACCAGCACTGGGTTAGAATGGCACATTAGATGACCTTGTCAACAAAAGCTGTTTTTAAACACAAAGCTGGTGCATCTGCGTCACAGCTAGAGAATAAAATTCTTTCCACTGCATCATACTTATGTGGGCTTCATTTTACCCTTGACCAGTCAAAATCACTGTCACAATACCAAAAGCTTTAGAAAGGCAGGGAGAAAAACTAATACCGTGATTACTGGAAGCCCAGTTATATCTCTGGGACTAAAGCATACAAAGGCTGTAGTCTGCAAGCCTCAGCTCCAGAACATGCCAGGAAGCTTTGCAAAACAGAGTGCTTTAATGTCACCCTGCTCACTGGAGTGTAGTCCTGCCAAAACCAGCTGGTATCCTCTCTCTGTTGCTCTCCAGGGCAGGAGAAGCAAAGAGCAGTTTCCTCAAAGTCTTCTGCCAGCTCCACTGATTTTCTTAACAGTTATTTGCAGATTATGGGTGTTCCCAGGGACCTTCAGATAAATGGAGTTATACAGTCAGTGCTGCAGTGTTGTGCCAAAGTTCACTGTAGATTTGTCAGAGCTCTCATTTTCTTTCATGTTTGTTTTGTTACTAGAGGGATAATAGTCCCTTTTATTCCTTCCATACATCTAGTGTTGTTGAAACAGTGGAATAAAAAGGTGCAGCTGGATGCATCCTACCAACAGGGATAAAAAGGAATTTAAAAGCAGGAGGAAATAAGCAAGATGGAAAGATCCTAAATATTTAATTTTGCCAAATACCAGAGGCAATGCCACAATGGGAACAGAAGCTGCATGGAGCGCTCAGACCTCTTCCCTCAGTGGCCTAAGCCAGCATCAGGACATAATCCCTTCGGTCTCGAGATCACATTCTTGTAATGCATGAGCAGCAGCTGTGCCTCAGTCTCCTTGGGGTCCCGAGCCTCTGTGGCAGCAGCAGGAGAAACAAACATCTTTCATTAAGGTCATTTTCATTAGCGAGTTCTGCCTACTCAGGGAGACCTTGTTAATCAGATGCCACAGCTCTCCGCCTGTGCCCATGCTGAGTCTGTAGTTGCTTGTTTGCAGATGTATTGCTAAAGCCACAGGAGGGGGAGAAAAATCCCAACAAAACAGGCCAGGCAAGGAGACCTGAGAGCAAACGGTGCTGCAAATGGGACAGAGCACTGCTGGGAGCTGGGCACAGGGCTGGTGCATGTGGCATGGAGGACCCACCTCAGAACAGCACTTGCAGTCTGGGGTTTGATTTAGTCCACGTTATCTTACTGAGGCCAGCAGCTCCAACTCGGATGGGCAGGACAGGGAGAGGGCACTTACCTGCAGCTCTCCCAGCCAAACAGAGACTGCAGTGGAGATGCTGTGCCCAGCTGAATACACTAAAGGAAATGGTTCCCATTTTCCTCACACAGGGCACAGACACTTAATTCTTATCACGTACAGGGTGGCCAATTTCATTTTCCATAAATAAACTTCCCCTGAACAGCAAGACCATGGAAGCTGCTGGCTCTAGCTTTGACTAACTGCTGCTCAGGCCACTTCTTCTGTACAGGCTGCACCAAACCCTCCACAATCAGTAATGGGGCATTTCATGGGCAAAATGCACAGAAAGGGACAAATCTTCAATTAAAACTGGCAAGAAATAGCAAAAGTACAAGATACTACATTATGTCAGATTTGAATAACCACTGCTTAGAAATATATTTTATTTTCCATTACATTCTACCATAAACCTTTTGGCAAGAATCTTATTAAAACAGCTTTAGCCAAAAATTTGTATCCATGAAAGATTTAACAACCTCTGAAAAAGCATGAAAAATTGGACACTGATTCCTGTGATGGCTGAATAACAGGAGCTTTGGATCAGGCTTTGAATGTCCACATTGTGGCAGGCACTCTTATTTTCCCCTTGTGTGCTAATTGCTTGCATTCCTGTACTACCATAAACCCATTCCTTTTGCAATACCCCATCCCATCAATCCACCATGTGAACACAAGAGGGGAAAGGAAGAAAAACAAAAACATCTGCACTACCTTGAGGTTAGAATAGGATCCTATTACATGTGGAAATGGGCATCAGTCCTTGCTTGTCTGGTTTTATGGGCTCGGCCCTCTGAAGTGCTAAATCCCATGGGAATGTGCTCCAGAATACTGAGCACTTGACAGGACTCAGCTCTTGGACTGCTGGGAAAATACCTCCGTGGGAGACAAAAGTCTTTCCCCATATTTGGGCCAGGGCAGAGAATTAAGGTAGCAGTTAAACGGAAGT